CCCCATATGTTTGCCCGTGTAGGTAATAAACGTACTTTCATATTAGTAAACTTGACAATTGCATAGAAAACAATATTATCAACATGCTTAAATTAATGGACAAAATTTCAAATACCTCACCCAGGCCTACAAACAAAAGCCATCAATGAGCAACCAAACTATGGAATATGTACACACTTTAAGTAGAAATAGCCACACAAATGACAAACAAAACACAGCCTCCATAAAGTTTGCATCGTAACAATAAGAACCCAGCACATTTCTAAGGAACCAAACACAGTGAATCACGCAATCATGAAACAATGACAGAGTATAGGGCTGGGACGAGGCCAAATTTACCACCCAGGTACCATCTTCCCGAGGCAAGAGAGTTAACTGACTATAAAAGTCCAGTTTCCACCCTTGCCGAACTAGGCTGGTATTATGGAGTTACATTTTGCCTGGACTAACGAGTCTATGCATAGTCCAATCCGCACCGCAAACCGAAATCGAAATCCGTTCGTAAAGTGTCATGCAGATTTAGGTCGACTGCAGGATTTGCAATGCATGTGCACCGCTAACTCGTTGTCAACAGATATTTTCTAAATCTTTTCATGCTTTTAATCAAGGTGCTCACGTGATTTGATGCACTTCGCGATGTAAGACTCGTTTTATCACACTTTAGATCTTGATTATCAATCCGATCGTCTTGACTGGGCGCCACCGTTTTGTTTAAAGCAAATGCAAGTGATACGAGAGGATGAATCTGATTGGTCAATAGGAGAGGCATTGAAAGGACATAACTCGTAATAGCCACTGGTGGCGCTACGATCGAGCCCAGGAATTCCAGCCTAGTTCGGCAAGGGTGGAAACTGGTCTTTTAAAGTCAGTTAACTCTCTTGCCTCGGGAAGATGCCCAGGTACCCACCCCGCTATTATCTGATCCTACCCAAGTACCCGCTGTAGGCCTTAAGAGAATACATCATGTCCGATTGGGAATAGTTTGATCGGAGCCCTGACAAAAACCATTTACATACAAGTATAAAACAATCAGGTCACTCAAGCATACACTTGAGTTTACTGAAGTTTTATCTTCATTCAAACATATTAAAGTCAGAAGGAATGGGTGCATAGTCAGAAAGAAATGCGAACATTAGTGACTTGTAGTGTAACCATATACAGCGTTAGAAATTGGCACTAGTCCTGTAGTCCTTACCAAACTGCCCAATAGTAAAGGTATCCTAAGGACTAGTAGAAATTGGCCCATTTTAAGGGTTTGCTATTTGTTATCATCATAAGGACTAGTGGACAAAAACTGTTAGTTTCTAGATATAGAGTTCTAGATGATTTTTGTCATTAAACAATATATCACGTGATTATCCATTGGTCCTACTCAGTACCTACCCGACCAGAGTACCCGAGTCCTGTGACCCAGGCCTAACACAGATCGATATTTTCAAATACTTTTTATCATAAACTGCATAAACTGGAATATAATTTAGGGACTTGTCATTTATTATAGGGAGGGGGAAGGTCATGAGAAATGCTGAATGTATTAGGGCATGAAAAACTTCCATCCTAATACACATCGATACATAAACAAACAATATCTATTTTTAGGGTCACTAAATGGTATCTGCAAAACAATAATTAAGTGGTTACTAAATAGTATTGTCTGTCTGAACCACACAACCCAGTGGTAGACATCATGAGCATCGACCCACGCAATCGGGATACAATGACATGCGATCAACAATGTCACCAAGTCTGACCGCACAATCCACCTAGTCACCTCTTACGACAAACTAAGATTATTGGGGACCTCTATTCTCTCCTGGAATCCCCAAAGGTTCCAGCTTATCTACTATAAAAGCAAAACAAAGTAGGAACCACGGCCACAGCAACAATTATCAGAGACATATTCACCATTATGCCAATTATATAACAGGCCTTGAAAATGAGGCTTATCCTGCAAAACTATCATTATTGTTAATTCTACCATGAATTTGGAAAATACTTGATTCTGATTGGTCATTCAGAGGTTGTCAAATCACAATAGAAGTCCTCAGACGATTTGATGAGCACATCTATTGACGGTTTTTCGGAAGCTTATAATCATAGAAGCGTACTTTTTTCAATCATTGTCGGTAGGCATATTTAAATACATATATATCTACAAGTATATAGGTTACAAAATGCAAAGTTGAAAATACTTCAATATTCAAAGGATGTGTGGCAGTACGTTTTGTGAAGAAAACACAATAGAAATCTGCTAAGAGGATGTATTTCAAGTTTTGGGGGCTACAGAGCACTTGGAAATTGGCGCTTTTCTATATACTGAAAGAAACCTTTGCAAAGCTTGCTTAGTTTTCTTTAGGAGTGCCCACCTCATGTTAGCTTACCAAGTTGCCGTGCTGATACGCTGTCAATGCCTGTCATATGTTCGAGTGAAGTATCACAGTGTAAACAAACTGCTTTTGTTTAAGGCTGTAGTTGGTGATTCCGTTATTCAGATCGACAACCCACTCAAAACACTGTCCAGACGCAACCCATGTCTCTTTACTCAATGTATTTGCCGACACCAAAGGGTTCGCTTTATATTTAGTTATGGCAGAATGGATATAAACATACAGTGTTCTCAATGTAGAGCTGGGTTACCTGTAGATTAACCGTGCTTAATTTAACATGTGAAACCTCATGCCGTACGGTTAAATCTACAGGTAACATAGCTTTACAATGAAAACACAGTATGTTTATCTCCTAAACAAAATATATTAGTGGGAATAATAAACGACTGTGATCATACATGTAATAATTAGTTATATTTTTTCTCCACATTTCGGAGATTTAGGGTTGGTGGTGGATCATTAAACCAAGCAACCATGCTCAGAAATCACAATGTACATTTACACGGACGTTTTGACCAAGTCCGTAATATCATGTGAATGGGTCCATAGTCTACATCATAAATGAATGGATCAAGGTTTGGTACACTGGATAATTGAAGATGCTTGTCAATATTCTGTAGTACATATATTAACATGTAACATCTGTCAACTTAATGTTGTATTTATCAACATATTCTTCCATGAATTTGGAAATTCTGATTGGTCAATCAGAGGCTATTAAATCACAATAAACCTCCTCTGATTGAAACAGCTGGTTTGACGGCTGCATCATCACGGAAGCTAATATTCATAGAATAGGACTTTTTTCGGTCATTGTTGTTGCAATATCAAGTAATGACTGCTCCCTATCATATCACTGTCCAGTACATAAACTGATCCCCGTACATCCGGGCTTTTAAGATCATGGCCTCTGAGAGTAAACGTGTAAAGTCAGACGTGCTACTTGTTGCCTCTGTAATTAGTGTTTGGATAACACGGAATATTGAAACAATTGTCTGTAGGCATATTTGAATTATAATGTGTGGCAATAAGTTTCATGCAAAAAACACAATAGAAATCTACAAACAGAATGTATTTCAGTTTTGGAGACAACAGAGAGCTTGGAATTTGGCACTCTCCTATATTCAACCATGTCATATCTTTTGCGTCACAATGAGCGATATGACATCATAATGGTCAGTGTAGAGCGAAGGCCATGCAAAGCTTGCTTAGTTTTCTTTAGGAGTGCCCAACTCATCATGTTAGCTTACCAAGTTGCAATGCTTATATATACCGTATTTCCTCTATTAGACGCCGGGTCTCTAATAGAAGCCGGGTCAATTGTTCAGTGCAAAAAATGAAGCCGGGCCTCTAATAGACGCCAGGTCGATCAGTTGATACAATTAATGATCCCTGGGTAGGGGGGTATTAATAGAAGCCGGGCCTCCAATAGACGCCGGTATGATCAGTTGATACAATTAATGATCCCTGGGTAGGGGGGTATTAATAGAAGCCGGGCCTCCAATAGACGCCGGTATGATCAATTGATACAATTAATGATCCCTGGGTATGGGGGTATTAATAGAAGCCGGGTCTCCAATAGACGCCGGTATGATCAGTTGATACAATTAATGATCCCTGGGTAGGGGGGTATTAATAGAAGCCGGCCTCCAATAGACGCCGGGTCGATCAATTGATACAATTAATGATCCCTGGTTATGGGGGTATTAATAGACGCCGGGCCTCCAATAGACGCCGGGTCGATCAGTTGATACAATTAATGATCCCTGGGTATGGGGGTATTAATAGACGCCGGGCCTCCAATAGACGCCGGGTCGATCAGTTGATACAATTAATGATCCCTGGGTATGGGGGTATTAATAGAAGCCGACCTCCAATAGACGCCGGGCCTCTAATTGATGTCGGGCCAAAGGCTTGTCCGAAATAAATAGAAGCCCGGGCGTCTCATAGAGGAAATACGGTATACTTTCAATGCCTGTCATATGTTCGAGTGTAGTATCATGGTGTAAACACACTGCTTTAGCATATACAGCGCCATATTATGTTTACAGACTGTTGTCGGTGATTCTGTAATTCAGATCGACAAGCCACTAGACTCAACCCATGCCACTTCACCCAAATTGAGTTTGCGCTTTATTTATTCACGGTAGAATGGAGATAAACATACTGTGTTTTCAATGTAGAGCTAGGTTACCTGTAGATTTAACTATTCTAAATTGAATTTGGAACGTACACGTAGAGTGAGGTTTCAAATGTTAAATTTAGCTGCGCGTTCGGTTCCAAATTCAATTTAGCATGGTTAAATCTACAGGTAACCTAGCGCTACATTGAAAACACAGTATCTTTATCATCTAATTGTAATATCATTTCACATAACACATATCTATCAACAAACTGTAGCAATGCATGTTGTGTGTTATACACCCACCCACACTAACCCCCCCCCCCACACACACACATATACATACCAACATATTGCAATAGCCATCAATCAGTTGTAACCTGCATCAATATATTATATATCTAACAACATATTGTAATACATAGGATGTTGTTATATCTATAAACATATTAATATCTGTGAACATAATTATTTAAAGTAACAATATTCACCTCATCCTTGTGACCTCCAAACTGCCTGAGATCCAGTTTATGTAGTTCTTGCGGTCCCTTAAACATGTCCGCTCTGTTCTGCTGTCTAACAGGCATTGTGACCCAAATGATTAGGACGTTAAAGTTCAATCAGTATCCTTACTGCAGTCAATACATAATTTACAGCAGACACTTCCCTGTCTACAGCCACAAGTCTGATCAGGCTGTAATCGTATTCAATACACATGGGTATGCAGACTTTCTGTTAAACTTAATGAATTATTAATGTTCCTATTTTCAAAAGCCTCTCCAACGTCTTGAGCACCACATTTGATTACCTCATAAAACATTACAGGCTAGATTCCTCTCAATCAAATGTGTACCCAAAACACACGACACAATAAAACAGACTTGGCTTGATCGATATAAGCTTTCCTGCCATAATCGGGGCAAGTACACTATATCCTTATCCGAGCTGTGACTCATGAGTGTGTCTCGCCTGATGTTTTGTGACAAGTAATTAAAACGCCGCAAATGTGAAACTTAAACTATATTCTACGTGATATCGACAACAGCAACGGCACAATCTCCACCACCTTTTCATCACCATCGCGTTCTACAGTACAGAAGCACTTCATTGTGGAAAACTAAAGTCGTAGTTTTATTTTTGACAGGCACCTGTTCACATTGCCTTTCCCGTGATCCTATTGCTACTACTGACACACATGTGAACACTTAATGCATGTTAGAAAGATCCCATATCTCTGAACCTGTAGATTTGTTCGCTCGTACGTGTTGCTAACGTATACAAATAACACTTCCGGTTTGGGTTACAGTCAAAATAGAAATCAAATTAAAGCGAAATTGAGGTTAATATCGTACTGCTTTGCATGAACAAGCGCTATTACAACCTTTTATGTAAAAAAAACACACTCTTAATGTAAAGAGTCTCATTAAGGATTGCGTTTTGAACCCGTCTTGTTACAAAATTACAACAATAATAGAGCCAACAACTCTTAATATAAAAAAAATAAATGTATTTTTACATTTAGTTTTTTTCTCGTACCAATCTCTCCTTTTCGTAATTATATAAACGAAGCATCTGATTGGTCAACATTTAGATGTTGTCGATTTCATTCAATGATATTTAGATATAATTATGGACATAAAACACAGGTTTGATGTTACCATGAACAATACGTATGCATCGTTGAAATGTCTAGTATATTTTGAGGCTCCAAACTCTATCGTGACAACGAAACAGTCCTCCGTTCGGTCAAAAATGTAAATATATTTCGATTTATATCGTATCAAGCTCCAAATTCCCAGCGCATGACACCTTCGTTACACTCTCAGTAACATCGCGATAGCAAAGAGAGCTCCGCGAATGAGCTATCGCTGTGAGGAGTTTGGAATTGTATGAGTGCTTTGGTACATCGGACCTATTCTACCCCGGAATCTTCACGGGTCGGGTCAATTCTTGGAGATTCTGTACTGAAAGGTCCCTGGCACTCACCCTACGTCACAAATGATCTCACAGATGCTCGGTTAGATTCAGGTATGGGCTTCGAGAAGGCCAAAGCAGAGTCGCAATGATGTTGATCTGGGCCCACTTGCACAAAGCAATCTTAGCGCTACGACTATTGTAAGCCTATGTTAAAGTATGGGAGTTACGATCATCTTAGCGCTAAGATCGCTTTGTGCAAGTTGGCCCTTGACCCACTTGCACAAAGCTATCGTAGCGCTAAGATGATCGTAACTCCCATACTTTAACATAGGCTTACAATAGTCTTAGCGGTAAGATCGCTTTGTGCAAGTGGGCCCTGGAGATTGTCGGTCACAGCTCGTGCAGGTCGGCATCGTCGTCCGTGTAGAGCCTGCGCGTTGCAAGTGCATGGTTATCAAAATGTGGCACAACAAAATCGTCCAATGTGGTATCTTGGTTCCTTTGTCCATTTCATGTCCCCTGAACTATGACCACATCAAGTTATATTTATTTATTTATTTATTTATTTATTTCAACATAGACATGTTCATGAAAAGTGTGGAATATATATCCTCCTCCAAAACAAACGCAACATTCTGCATATTTCGCCTAATATGTTTGTTAAAGTTACTTATTTCATAAATGTTACTTTATAGTTGGATTGTATCGCCCAAACGCACCGTTTGGAATTTACTGACATTTAAAACGGATTTTTCGAAATCATCATGAAATACATGTGGAATAAAATCTTCATGCCCTTCGCATGTTGTTTTCGGGGAAATAGAGTGAGTGAGCGAGTGAGTTGTGTTTAATGCCGCTTTTAACAGTATTCCAGTTATATCACGGCGTGTCAGCTTAATGTGGGAGGAAAGCCCGAAGTGATGCAGGTCTCAGACGCTTAGCACATCGGTGAAACCCACGAGCACGGGTATGGTGCTGACAAACCTAGAAACATAATCGGGCTGAACCGGGATTCGAACCCACAATCATAGATTTCTGGCGTACCTAAGGAACGCAACTCTGCACAGCGAATCGCGGCGCCTTAGACGACTGAGCCACTCATGCTCCCGTCCTTATGGATGCCAGGAAACAATTGTGCCGTGGCGTCTTAAAGGGGGACGTACGTTTGCCGTGAAAATGGCAGTGTGTGCGGACTGTACAAAGGGGAATTAGAAGGTTGGGTGTTTGGCATAAAAGGCATTCCTTCGACAAACTGGTTACTTTTGCTTTGAGTACGTTTTGTTATGCCATGACGAGACCGTGTGTGCGTGTGTGTGTGTGTTTGTGTGTGTGTGTGTGCGCGCGCGCTTTGAGTAAGTTTTGTTATGCCGTGTGTTTGTGTGTGTGAGTGTGTGTGTGTGTGTGTGAAGTGGCACCCGTCACAAGCACATGCAAAGTCAGTTGTTCACCTGAAACAAACATAGGAACATTTGGTACAAGTAAAAAATAGGGAATTAGGCTCAGGTCAAATTATTTGAACACACAGTCTTATATTACAAAATGATAAAACTGCTTGAACCGTAGCTTCAAAGACGCGTATGCCATTGTCAACTGGACTAAATACATTCACAGGCATTCTTTAAATACGACCCTTAATTGTAAGTGAAGCAGTACAGACAATTGCATTTGCAATGGTGATCTAGAAGGATATATTGAAAGAACACTTTGTGTGAGTGTCAGGTTTGTTCATGTTGGTAGAAATATAAAAGCTCGCCATCCAATGTATTTCGGTAGAAACTCAAGAAAAGTCGTGGAATGTAACCTATAGGCTTGTAAAAGTATTCAGTTGAATATGAGGATTAATGTTTTCTTACATGTTAATCCACACAACTATTTATGCCGTAGTTTTCTTCATTTTGGGGAGGCTCGAGGTGGGATTTTTTTCATGAAGGAGAGCTGAGATTTTTCCCGTCACATTTTAAATTGTGCCTATGTAGGTTATGTTGAAATGTACTCAGTATGTTTTGTTTGTTTGTTTTGTTCCTTGTTCAACGCCGCACTCAGCAATATTCCAGCTATATGACGGAGGTCTGTAAACAATCGAGTCTGGACCAGACGATCCAGTGGATGACATCCTGAGCATCGATCCACACAATTGGGATACAATGACATGTATCAACCATGTCAGCGTGCCTGACCACCCGATCCCGTTAGGAGCCTCTTACGACAAGCATAGTCGCTTTTTACAACAAGCATGGGCTGTTGGCGACCTATTCTACCCCGGATCTTCACTGGTTTTCGGACTATGTACTTAAACATAATTTAGCTGTACAGACGTATGAGATTTTAACACAATCTCACGCCGTCAGCGCGTGGCTGGTCATGGCAATTCGCTCTAAATAAATCAGGTTGAAATATATAGCGAGAAAGCCATAACACGAGACGGGAAAGCTATCGCTTAAATCTTCCCGTGTTATCGCTTTCTCGTCTCGTCTCCCGTGGCCATAATTGAAGGCGAGAAAGCAATGTCGCCTCTTGGCCACCATATTTACCCACCTGAGCTTCAAATAAAAGAGACCAGTGAAATTACCTCATATTTCATATTTAGATCTATGAAAAAAGATTTAAATAAGAAACATGCACCTTTATGGTTTAATGCATTTAGCGACGTTTCGACGTAGATTCTTACACACCAATCAAGCTAATCAAGCTGGTCGTGTATGAAGTTGTATGTTTTCATATTTACATCAGCTTCGAGAGGGCCAATCAGTCAGTTAGGATTCAAAGTGTTCAAAATCTATCCACATGAATTTATGACAAGAGGGATTACTTAAACTTAGCTCCCTTGGTCAGTGGAGGTGTCACACATCAACTCTGAAAAAGTCAATAAATAACCAACATATTGAAGCAACTCGAGGAGCAAGAACGGTCAGAGGTAACTGCAGTTTGGATGGCGAGAATAGGGTGTTTTGTGCACCCCAAAGGCGTGAGACAAATGGACAAGATTCAACCCTATAGCTACACGAGTGATTGGACGCCGGGGATGGCGACAGGATACAGGCTAATTCAATGCAGTGATGTGCTTCCGTTTGTGGTGATTACAGGATCTAGTACAGTAATTTGGATCCAAGATCTGCGGCCATCATTAATTCCACCACCAACGCTGTTTCGATCAGGTGAGATCTGAGACTTATATTATCGACGAGAAACAATGTTTACATGTCGAAAACAGGACACTCCAATCTTGACTCGGAATCACCCGTTTGTACAGGTTAGAGGACAGGTTATCTAAAGATATACGTTTAATTCAGGATGAGATCAGATCCATGAAAAGAGATATCAGTGATTTGAAGTCAGATGTCAGTTCATCTAAAGAACGGCATGGCATATTCACGTTAGACGTTGATTCACTGTTTGAGAAAAGCGAGCTGACGGAAATGTTTTTTATGATTTAGAATCCAAGATAGAAAGCAAAGAACGCAGAAACAGGAGAAATAATGTAATATTATATGGAGTGTCTGAATCACAACATGAATCGTATGTGGCGTGTATGGAGAAAGTACTGGAAGTACTGAATAGTGCTAGAGAGGTAGAGAAGAAATGTCCCCCACTCAATTCCATGGCATATATGTAGAACGTGCACATCGTATTTCGACGAAGAACCCAAATAAAACTCGACCTCTGATCGTGAAGATGCTGCAATGGTACCACAAAATGCAAGCTGTGTCAATATGGACTTGACTTTGAATCAGAGGCAGGAAAATGCAATATATGGAGAATAACATTAAGAACTCAAAAGATTTCTGGTCTGTGATTAAAAAGTTTGAATTGTAAGAACTATGTTCAAAATAGTATTAAGATTGCTCACTTTTTGCACATTTTAGAGATATGTTTGCTGGTGAGCAAACATCAACTGTGCCTGACGACTTTCCGAGAATCTTACAAGATGACTGTGCCAATGATGATGTCACTAAAGATATTGCAGAGGATATTCTCAATATGCCTATAACAAAAGACGAAATATTAAACAGCATCCATCATTTAAAATGTAACAAATCTCCAGGAATAGATGCGCCATTTTCTAATTATTTATACATTCGGCTTGTCTACTTGTCCCATAACTAGAATTGTTATTTAATGTGATGTTTGACGAGGGATACTTCCCTGAAACATGGTCTATTTGTATTTTAATTCCGCTTCATACATCAGCTGCTTCTAATGATGTCAACAGTTACAGGGGGATAACTCTCTTGTGTATCTTCAGTAAAATATTTACTTTTATTATTAACAAGAGACTTGTGTCTTGGGCAAATGCCATGGATAAAATTGCAGGCTGGATTTAGGGAATGATTCAACAGTTGATAATGTCTCTATATTGCAATGTCTGATAC